ATTCGATGTTTAAATCACCAGTTATTCACAGAAAAGGTATTGAACATGATCAAAAAGTTCCCCTAAGTTTTGTTATACAATGAGTGTTCAATACAGGTGTTCAAAAGTTCAACAAGTGTAGGGAGAGAAGGTCAACATGTTCAGGAATTCACCACATGTTTTTTTTGTGTTTTATGTGTTTTTTTTTATTAAAGATGAGTTTCAATTTGTTCAACGTATCATCTATGTTCTTTTAACTGGACTTAATTTTTGTTCATAAGTTCCCCGAAACTTGTTAAAAAGTGACGTTCATTTCCTTCATTAGTTCACAAAAAAATATTTATAAGAGACGTTCATTATGTTCATTAGTTCACCAAATATAAGCACATAACACGTTCATTTTGTTCATTACTTCACCAAACAAAAATAAAACAAGTTCAATTTGTTCATTATCACAGCAGATCATATACAAAATGTTCAATCCCAATTCTCGTGAACATGTTACAGGTGTTCAAATCTCTCTCCCCCCCACAGGTAAACTGATCGCGTTCGTAAATCAACAGGTTTTTCCCAGCTAAAATCCGGGTTGAGCTAAACGTTTGTCAAGTATTCCTAGTAAGAACAAACCTGGAAATAAATAAGACTGATACACATTAATGAAATCCAAAATGGCGTCAGGATTACACTGAGACTTGACCTTTAACGTTAACGGGATTGTGTATAGTCAGAGGGTATTTTTGACGCCATTTTGGATGGTGTTGTTATAGTGAGTTGATTAGTTAAGTAATTATGATTTTATATACATACATACATACATACATACATACATACATACATACATACATACATACATACATACACACAGAAAAACCGACATATTCGAGGTTTAATTTTGGAAACACCAGAGTACGAGAGTTACCACTTGGCAACCTTCCGGACGCCTGTGTGTGTGTGTGTGTGTGTGTGTGTGTGTTATATGACGTTATATACGTATACATATGCAGTATACACATAACGTATATATACAGTATATATATATATTTTTTTTTTAAAGGGAAGAATGTATTGATGCTATTAAAAGGAAGATTTTTTTTAGGAAGGTTAGGTTACGTTAGATTTGGTTAGGGTGTTTTATATACAGGTGAAATAAGCTTTGGTTTCTAATTTTCGTCTGACCCGAAAATAATATTAAACCACCAGAAACAAACAAACATAAATAAAACAAACAAACAAAAATAAATAAAACAAAAAAGAATAACGACAGAAACAAATAAACAACGTAACACCAACTACAACAACAACTACAACTAAAACAACAACAACAACAACAACTAAAACAACAACAACAACTAAAACAACAACAACAACAACTAAAACAACTACAACTAAAACAACAACAACAACTCGTTTATTCTTGAAAAAATAATTCCTTAGCACCAGACACGATAAAAATTCCCCAGAAATTTCCCCACGATTTTCCTACCTGTGGTTTTAACTGGACTAAGGAACGGGAGAGAATGAATTGGTAGGGGGTAGGGAAGGAGGAGGGGGGAGGGGTGGAGATAGAGGAGGAGTTTGAGATGTGGAGGAGGAAGGGGAGAAGGGAGGGGTGGAGGGGGAGGAGGGAGGGGGTGAGTGACTGAAGGTGGAGAGGTGGGTAGGAAGGTGTGCGGGAGGGAGTGAGGGAGGGAGGGAGGGAGGGAGGAAAAGAGGGGAGGGGTAGGTAAGAGGGTAAAGTGTGAATGAGTAAAGGAGGTAGGAAGGGGAGGAGAGGGGGAAAAAAAAGGAGATGGGGAAACGTAGGGAAAAAAAACCTATGACTAGGGAGGGAATAGGTAGGAAGAGGAAGAAGAGTGAGGAAGAAACAAGAAGTGAGGAGTAAAGGCGTAGAGGGAGGAGACAGAGGAGGAGGAGGAGTATGAAGTCAAGGACACGGAGAGAGAGAGAGAGAGAGAGAGAGAGAGTATAAACAAAACACATCTGAGACAGGAATGGAAGATTGAGAAAGAGAGAAAGAAAGAAAAAGCAAGAACAGGAAGAGGAAGAAGAAACGATGAGTATAAGGAGATAGGAACCAGGATTATCACCTACCTCCTACGCACGGATCTAAGCACGGGGCGAGTCAGCTAGAGCGAGTACGTGGAATACTGTGTGATTCAGCGGAAGTGTCCCTCTGTGAGTAATTCCCCTCCACGCCACCGCTACAAGCTCGACTCTTCTCCCGGAAATTTCACACCGGGGATACGTAGGATTCTTATGGTCCTGTGTGGTTTGGAGAGCCAGTGTGTCCTAGTCCAGCCTAATGGTGAGACGGTGAAGTGTCTGTGTGAGTGTATTGTGTGTTCTGGTGACCGAGATTACTCAGTCGTTTACTTAAAGTGATCTGGGAAAGTACAGTACGTGATCGTGATACTTGTGTTGAGGTATCGTCTGCATTTATATATATATATATGACTTAAAAAGAGCTCTTACACGTCAGACTTGTTGAGCTCAGGTTCACTGATACAAGTAGTTCATCCTAGTGACCTGAAGATACAAGCCCTTTAGAACTTTGGTGCCTGTGAAGTGATAAGCACAAGTGTTGAAAATCCACTTTTACATTTGATTGGTAAATGACAAGTCCTTGTGTATAACCATCTCAAGCCTGCCTGGGAATTCGGACTTGACAAAACACGAGATACGGTCAGAGAGGATTAGTCCACCCTGTAGCGTTGATCCGTGACATTGAACACCTACAAATGTTCATAAAAGTGCTAGAACATTTTGGAACAAGACTTGGAAGAACAAATTAGTGGTGTTTGTTAATTGTTGCTGTAGAGTGAGCACCGAAGTAACTCTCATTCACACTGAGCAGACGTTGAGTGAAGCACAGAACTCCCTGCAACGTGTTGTGGATGGGTGACGTCATATCTCCTGGTAAGTCAGCTGATCTGTTTCGCGCGCTTTTGGTGTTGTTGTTGCTGTGGTAAATCAGCTGATCTTTTTCGCGCGTTTTTTTATGGCTAGTCAGCTGTTTCATTTCGCGCGTTTTTTGTGTATTATGGTAAGTGAACTGGTACCTTACCTTATGTATGTATGTATGTATGTATGTATGTATGTATGTATTCATAAATGCACATGTACACCTTTATCAGCGAGATAAAACTAGGAAAGTTATGCTACATTCTTTCTGGTGTTCACCTTTCGCAACTCCTGAACACAAACTTTGGGGAAATATCCGGGAACTTAAACGAAAATTAAATATTGTCGAAATTTTGTCATTGACTCTATAAACCTGATTTTTTGGGGTGTGGGGAATTTTATGGGGATTTTTTTGGGGAGGTGGGTAGAGGACAGATGATAGGGAGGGGAAGAGGATGCAGTAGTGAAATATTGACTGGGTGGGGAGTGGGGGGGGGGGTAGGAGGGTGATTTCCGGTAAATATTGGGGTAATTTTACGTGAATTCTGAGTATTTGTGGTAGAAAATAGCTTAAGTGATTCATATGAGAAATTCAACTTATTTGGAAATTTAAACTTTGTGTCATGGCTAAAATGAGTGAGTCATTGAGATACTGTCGTCATTATTACGTCATTACTTATGAGGAAAAATAAATTTACGTCTGTCTGGCTCTGAGAATCTCTGTTGCTCCAGTAGTGTGCTCGTGTCCTGTTGCGTACACAGTTCTGACGTCATGTAAACACGGAAGCTCATACGATTAGTTCTGTCCATCTGTGCCTGTTTGATTGTGCCCGTGTAGCGTACATGTATGTATGTATGTATGTATGTATGTATGTATGTATGTATGTAGATAGCGAGAGATCACACACACACACACACACACACAGAAGAGATATAGATAGATAGATAGATAGATAGATAGATAGATAGATAGATAGATAAAGAGAGAGAGAGAGAGAGAGAGAGAGAGAGAGAGAGAGAATCTTGGTTGATGACTATTCACTTTGACACGCTGAGACTTCCTCCACTTAGTTCCTAGTAACACATTCTCTCTCTCTCTCTCTCTATTTCTTCGGTGTGTTTGTTTGTTTGTGATCTCTCTCTTTATCTATCTAACTATCTATCTATCATCGAACTAATAGTGAGAAAATTATAGGTTACAGGTACAGTTGAGGTACAGGTAAGATATGGTGCAATTACAGACACGGTTACAGGGAAAGGTACAGTAATTCGCACTAGATAGATAGATAGATTAGATAAATAGATAGATAGAGAATATAACACTCGTAGCTCCACCAATCACAGACATAACAGGGAAAATCTCCACCAATCACAGACATAACAGGGAAAATCTCCACCAATCACAGATATGACAAATAAAAATCCCACCAAACAGAGGAGAGCCTTCAGTTATGTATGACCAATAAGAAGAACACTTCCTCTTACAGTATCCGGAAATGAGTTCATAATAAAAATCCGGGAAAATATTGTGAGGTCAGTCTGTCCATAACCGGTGTCCGGATATTCAAGATGTCGTTCCCCGTATGTCAAGTCATGTAGAGGTGTGTGTGTCTGTGTGTGTCCGGTTAATTGAGAGTCGTCGGTGATAATATCCGGATGTGTTAGGTTGAAATTTTTTATTGGAGGTTTATTAATATATTTAATTACTATATAAATTTCATATAACTAATTAAGCTATGAGTAATATATATATGGCTAAATTATATAATGGCTAAATTCAATTGACTCTTATGAATATCTAGTTTTATAGCTAAACCAATACTTATTATTCATTACATATAAAACTAATCGTATAAATTAAATCATGCTTATTTTTTATTTTTCTTATCTTTCACAGATCTTAAACCGAGAGGAGGAATTCCAATACTTCGATTTTCAAGAGACATACAACATACCCGTCTGAGGCCAAGACCAGTGTTATTGTGTGACGTCATCTGGGAAACAAGTGACAGTCTCACGTGTATCTTCCACACTCACAAGGTTACAGAAACACAGAGTTGAATCCTTTAAGATAATCTGATGGTAATCGAGTAGTGTTTTTAAGATCTTGAAGCCTCTGGGGTCTTGATTTTTGTTATTAAGACGTAACTGTGAAGGCTTTTAAGGAGGTGAACTACACTACGGGGTTAATGACTTACATACACGTCTTCAATACTGACTCCTATTCGTCTACAGAAGATATGGCGCCTTAATTAAGTGTTGTTGTAGGTGTGGTTATTGGGAATTACTGTAACGCAAGTGACGTGTGACGGGGAAATTAGCGGTGATAATATACAGACAGAGGTGACGCAGTGACTGAGTTAAGACAGAACAGGAACTAAAGTGTTGAAAGTTGTCGAATTGTGATTTAATGTTGAGAGGTGAGGTGATTCAGTGTGAGTGAGTCAAAGGTGGCGAGACTCACCGAGGTGAAGATTACGGATGAAAAAGAAGTTTCGTAAAGGTGTCAAAGTGGAGCGTTCCGAAGCAACAAACGAAGCTGTGGAAAGCGAAGACATCGAGAATTCCGAATCGGACAGAGTTTGTCAAGATATTGAAGAGAATCGTTCCGAGCCAAAAGAAGCTCGTAAAGGCGTCATAGTGGAAGGTGTTGAGTCAAACAAAGCTGGGCAAGAGGTCGAAGTGAAGCGTTCCGAACCACAAGAAGCTCATGAAGACGCAATAGTGACACGTTCCAAATCAAAAGAAGCTGGTAAGAGTGTCGAAACGAAGCCTTCCAAGCCAAACGAATCTCGCAAAGGCGTCATAGTGAAACGTCCCAAAACTAACGAATCTGGCCAAGGCATCAAAGTGGCGACTGTCGTGATCCGCAGCATGGGTGAGATCGCCATCACAGGTGATATGAGCCCAGACCTGACGGGTGACGCGGCTGCCCAGGCGGGGTACCTGGACTGCCAGATGACGTCCACGTGTGACTCTACAGCAGCATCCAGAGACCTGAGGAGGAGTTATAGTGAGGCTGGGGAGGAGACCCTCTCCCCTCTTCCAGGTGTCCGTTCGACTTTCTTTCCAACCATCAAGCGGAGTCTCAGCGAGGCTCCCTGGTTGGAGCCACGCCGACGGTGCAAATCCAACTCGTCCACCTCTTCAGATTCAGTCCTGTACTTCCCGGAGTTCACTCGACCCTCCCCGACCCATCAGGTAGTCCACGGCCTTAATCCTGGTAGTCTCTCTCCCATCAAGTATGTTTCCCTGGAGCCCCCAAGAGCCCACGGTTTCCACAGCCCCGATAAGATGACGACCAGAAGCAGTGGGGACTCTCATGACGAGGTTCCTCAGGATCTGTCCAAACACCAGAGGACCTTAACTCCCGATAATTACCCTGTGGAACTCCAGCTCAATCTCAGATCCAGGGGACAGGGTGTGGTGCAAGGTGTGATGGAGCGGGTGGAGCTGCGTGAGAGAGAGGTGGGAGAGAATCAACAAGGACCAAGAGACAGAGGACGAAAGAAGAATGAAAAAGGGACGACGAAGGGGTTGAAAAGAGAACTGGAGGAGGACCCGGCCAGCGGCTTACCCGAGGTCAACAATGGCAAGATACTAGGTGAGTCACTTGACCTTATTAGCTTTACTGTACCAGGTAATTGTAAAGAAGGATGGAAATCAAATGGGCCCCTAGTCTGAATAGGTCCCAATATAACCTAACCTAATTGGCTCCCGTCCTAATAGGCCCCCATTACTACCTATTAAAACTGGTAACCAATTAAACCAATCCCTATTAAACCCAATCCTCACTATTTACAAATCAGTGTCGACCCCGAGCGTGATTGACTGACTGGTGACGTATGATTATTATTATGAGTTATGACATACCGTGTGATTTAGTTGTGTTGTTATTTTCGATTCACTATCTGTTGTGGCGCCCTTCACACCTGACCCGCCTCAATCTGTGTCTATTTTTGGAGTTAAGGTGTAACCGGGTAAACAACTGAGTACGTGACGTCACAAATACTCCTGGCCATCTCATTGGGTGAACTGGATTAGTGACGTAATAACCCCTCCTTTGATTAGACGAAACGTATAAAAGCTGTGATACGACATTCTTCAGCGGGGAAAACACATACACACAAGCAGACACATACACACAAACATATATTACAAACGTACACATCCCTCTCATCTCACCCCCCCACCATCCTCTCTCTCTCTCTCTCTCTCTCTCTCTCTCTCTCTCTCTCTCTCTCTGCGGTAATCGGCAAGGGTCGATAAGCTGGCGAGAGAGATGGAGAGGAGAAGAGGGAGAGTAGAGAGGAAGAGATAATGAGAGTAGGGAGAGAGACAGAGAGGGATAAGAGTAACATGATGAAGCAGAATCCGAGGTCACGTGTCTCGGGATGTGTGTCGGCCCGGAAGAGAGAGAGAGAGAGAGAGAGAGATTATATATTTACATAAATATAGATATACTGTAGATGTGTACATGCAAGCCTATACTGATGAACACCCACCCACACACACACACACACACACACACACACACACACACACACACACACACACACACACACACACACATTACCAAACCAATATAGCAAGTGTTACCAATGCACTCGATGACCTACATAAACAAACGCAGTGTAACCAATCCCCACCAAGGACAATACCACCCCTCTCCCCCCTCTCACTCCCCTCTCACTCTCCACCCCATTATTACGACACGTGACCTCCATAACGACTCATTGCCATCTAACTGCGGCCAATAGGACACAACGAACCTAACTACCCTGAGTTACATAGTCTTTCCTGTGGGTGTATGTATGTATGTATGTATGTATGTATGTATGTATGTATGTATGTGTTTCCCCTGTCTGTGTCTGTCTGAATGTCTGTCTATACTAATGTGTAGTCAGAGTACATGCATTACGTTATATATAGCATACCGTTATGATACTCTAGGCCGTTATAATGTGTATGACGTCACAGAGTAGCCGAGGTCAATGGGATGACGTCATTTCCGGTCATACGTACTAATTACTTACCTTTACTGTTACCTGTATGTCTCTCTCTACAGGTATTCTCTCAATATCTCCTCCTCCTCCTCTCCTCCCCACTTTTCTAGCTCCCCCACCTGCCTCCTCCTCCTCTCCTCCCCACTTTTCTAGCTCCCCCACCTGCCTCCTCCTCCCCACCTCATTCTCCTCCCCCACCTGCCTCCTCCTCCTCCTCCTCCTCCCCACCACCTCCCCACCTCTCTCCCCACCACCTCCCCACCACCTCCCACCCATGCACCCTAACCTTGCATTCCTCTCCTTCCGGACTATACAAGCAGCTGGATCTCTCTCTCTCTCTCTCTCTCTCTCTCTCCCTCTCATAGTAGTAGTAATAGTATTTTTTTAGTAATATCCATGTCATTAATGTCATTTTTCTTCTTCTTCTTCTTCTACTTCTTCTTCTTCTTCTTCTTCTTCTTCTTCTTCTTCTTCTTCCTTTTCTTCTTCTTCCTTTTCTTCTTCTTCTTCTTCTTCTTCTTCCTCTTCTTCTCCTTCTTCTTCTTCTTCTTCTTCTTCCTCTTCTTCCTCTTCCTCTTCTCCTCCTTCTTCTTCTCCTCATCAACAGGGATCCAATAACTGTACAATAATTCATTTCACTTAACTGTATCTCTAATCAACAACAAACTAATATCATTTAAATTATAAGACATAAAAACTTAAACAATGTCTAATGTCTTTACCGTTTATCTAGTAACATCAGCCATAACTCAGACACCAAAAGACATAGTGATTACTTAAGAACTTAGTAGTATTTATTATTCTAACTGGCAACTTACTTCTCATTATTAAAACTCAATATAATCCTTCTTTTTATAGTTATTGTATATTATAACTTTAAAAAAATACAAAAATATGTATATTTGTGTATGTTGTATAAAATTTATAAGAAGGTTACTTAGTTAGATGAGAATGTTGTGGGTTAATGTATGTAAATAAAATACAAAAAAAAACATGAATTGGAAACTTTTAAAAGATTATGTCATCGCTTAAGTTGCCACTAGGGATTTTTCGTATTATTATTATTATTATTATTATTATTATTATTATTATTATTATTAGTATTATTATCGTTGAGTTATATTAGAGGGGATATTATTGTTATTGTATTTTATATGTTGACAAGGGTACCTAGTGTGTGTGTGTGTGTGTGTGTGTGTGTGTGTGTGTGTGTGTGTGTGTGTGTGTGTGTGTGTGTGTGTGTGTGTGTGTATGTGTGTGTGTGTGTGTGTGTGTGTGTGTGTGTGTGTGTGTGTGTGTGTGTGTGTGTGTGTGTGTGTGTGTGTGTGTGTGTGTGTGTGTGTGTGTGTGTGTGTGTGTGTGTGTGTGTGTGTGTGTGTGTGTGTGTGTGTGTGTGTGTGTGTGTGTGTGTGTGTGTGTGTGTGTGTGTGTGTGTGTGTGTGTGTGTGTGTGTGTGTGTGTGTGGTGTGTGTGTGTGTGTGTGTGGGTGTGTGTGTGTGTGTGTGTGTGTGTGTGTGTGTGTGTGTGTGTGTGTGTGTGTGTGTGTGTGTGTGTGTGTGTGTGTGTGTGTGTGTGTGTGTGTGTGTGTGTGTGTGTGTGTGTGTGTGTGTGTATGTGTGTGTGTGTGTGTGTGTGTGTGTGTGTGTGTGTGTGTGTGTGTGTGTGTGTGTGTGTGTGTGTGTGTGGGTGTGTGTGTGTGTGTGTGCAGGTGTTTTGAAGGGAGAGAGGGTGTGTGTGCGACATAGCTATTCAGTGGGGGTGAGAAATTTAGGACAGCGAGGGAGGAGAGAGGGAGGGAGGGGGGAAAGAGAGGGAGGGAGAAGGAAGGGAGGTAAAGGGTGATGATGCAATACCAGATTACCTAAGGGAAGGGGGTAAGGAGAAGGGAGGGAGGGAGGGAGAGAAGGATTGGAAGAGGAAAGGGAAGGAGGGGGAAATGTAGAAGCAAGATGAAGGAAGGGAGGGAGAGGAGGAGAGATGGAAAGGGGAAGGAAGGAAGGGGAGGAGAGGAAAGGGAATGAGGAAAAAGTAGAGACGAGATAAGGAGGTGGAGGGGGGGGAGAGGGATGGAAGGAGGGAGGTAAGGAAGAGGAAGGAGGAAAGAGAAGTAGAGGAGAAGGAAGGAGGGAAGGAGAAAGGAATACCTATTAACACTATTTCCCTCATTAGCAATAGGCACCATTTAAATAGGTCCTACTAGCACAGATACCTATTAAATCAAGATCCTATTACAACTGGCTTCCACTATTATCGTCTCTCTAATACAAGGGAGCCATTAAACTTAGGGCCTATTAAAGCTAAAGGGCCCGATAACGACTGATACCCATTAGAATTGGGACTCTTTCGACTTTCGGGGTTTATTAGGATTTAGGGCCTATTTGATCCAGTACCCATTAAAGTAATCTGACTAGACCTCCTTTGTTTCCTCTCACACCCTTGCCCTGTCTTGCCCCTCTTCTCACATCCTTGTCCTCCCTTGCCCTTCTTCCTCACACCCTTGCCCTGTCTTGTCCTTCTTCTCACACCCTTGCCCTGTCTTGCCCTTCTTCCTCACACCCTTGCCCCTCTTCTCACATCTTTGACATTTGATCAACCTAAATTCTTGACTTTGGCATTCAGGTGAGTAACAGATCCATATTAACACGTGTGCTTCACCTACCTGTGTCACCTGCTGGTATTAACACGTGTGCTTCACCCACATGTGTCACCTGCTGGTATTAACACGTGTGCTTCATCTACCTGTGTCACCTGCTGGTATTAACACGTGTGCTTCACCCACATGTGTCACCTGCTGGTATTAACACGTGTGCTTCACCTACCTGTGTCACCTGCTGGTATTAACACGTGTGCTTCACCTACCTGTGTCACCTGCTGGTATTAAAATGTGTGATTCACCTATAGACAGATATGAAGAGTTTTAATGCCTTAATTATGGGTATATTAATAATTACCATCAGGTGATTGCATATGTAGGGCAGCCAATCACCTGAATCTCTCTCTTCCGTTATTGTCCACACGATAACTCTAGAACGGATAGAGTTAAACCATTCATACTTGGGAGATATATTCAGTAGGAACCCCAATAGTGACCTAATGAATATGGGGTCTGAAGGTAAAAGGGTAAGGTCAGAATGTTGAAAAATATTGCCCCCCCCCCAGAGTGAGTTGGAAACCCGCTCGAGTGCAGTTTAGTTGTGTGTTGATATCGGCTTAATAGTTATTGGTTTTAATACGGAAATTTGAGGTTTAGGTTAGGTTAGGTTTGGTTAGGCTAGGTTAGGTTAGGTTAGGTTAGGTTTGGTTAGGTTAGGTTAGGTTAGGTTAGGTTAGGTTAGGTTAGGTTAGGTTAGGTTAGGTAAGGTTAGGTTAGGTTAGGTTAGGTAAGGTGTTGTTGATTATTGTAAAGGAGTTGTGTGTGTGTGTGTGTTTCTATACATATTGAATTTAAACACACACACACACACACACACACACACACACACACACACACACACACACACACACACACACACACACATACACACCTCCCCAGCAGCCAGCCTTACGTAACCATTATCAGCTCACGTTTCGGGGGCCATTGTCCAAGTGTGTGTGCGTA